CAATCAACAATCATTTTTCTGAACCAACAAAGTCTAGCAGCCAAATGAGCGTTGAACAAGTGATATAATTGCTAGGGCAGCTTTATCAGCTCTCAGCGTAAACATCTCCCATGCTCTGGTGTATTGAGGATGGTATTTAGCGGTCGAATACCTTCCTATGCCGGTGATGATATAGTAATACCAATAGTTATCGTGTTTCCACAGACGTCGACCATTTAGGCCGACGTCACAGTTTGCGAATAGAATCCATTCGCTAGTGAATCGCTGGATGGCGTGGGGTTTTAGGGGTGTGTAGCAACAGAATCGTCCGGAGACCCGCGCTTGTGGTCGCGGCCGCGACGTCGCGACTGCAGTGGACGAGTTGAGCGTCACTTGCTTTGAATTTTAAAGGGATGGCCAGACCGACTCCTCCCTTTAACATTTCGATGAAGCATGGGTGATTTTGATTCCAAGGGACCTTTTTCGCTTTTCCGTTATCATCTAATGCTTAATTGAACTGTTCTGTTTCGGCTTTCTGTTTTTTCTGCTCTGTATTTGCTATCCCACTGGATCATTTCACTTTTCAAACAAATCTGACAACGATTCATTACATGCAGGTGACGGAAACTACTTTGTATATAGGATTAGATTGGGTTCCCGATTTCTCTCGAATCTTTTGTGTGACTTTACTATTCTCTTAGTGGATGAGTAACTTATGAGTATTGTTTTCAGCGTGTGGATGTGTTCTGCCTCGTTAGCGGTTTCGATCGGGTCTACAGATTGTTACCGTTTTGAGTTGTTAGCTCAGAATTGCTGCAGCTATATCCGATAATTACAACGTGCAGGTAAGCTCTTGCTGTTTTTGTACAGAAGTTCGAAGCTATTTTTCATAACATTCCCACTGTTTTTTTTTCGTAACAAAGGTTTCTGAACTTACAAGAACTCACAATAATTTCCCGTTATCTGCATGGTTTTGCTAGTGGTTCCACTCACAATCGTATGCCAGTTAATTTATCTCTATTTAGTAGATGTCGTGATCTTCCAGTCTCTGCGTCATGTTACCAATCAGCTACTTCTTCATCGGATCGCAGGGTCTTGGCAGGAACAATAATGTGAGTGATTGTTCTATTTATTCGTTACCTTAGCAATTATTAGATTACTCCAAGCGTGGTGTTTTTAGGATATCATGCAGGGAGTTTATAAGGCGCTGGTAGTATGTGCTTCAATCTGTTGTTATCTCATGTTTGGTGGACGTTGTGTTGACTTTAGTATCGCCATCGGTGGGTTTTTCATAGGTTCTGATCCTGATGCGTTCATATTTTGCACTTTCATGTAGTGTAGTATTTGGAATAAATATCCGTGAAAGATTGACTGTTGTTAGTGGATTTAATTGTAGGTATTTCCTCTTTACTGAACATTGATTGAGACTGTTCACGAGGCATTTCGGAATTTTCTTGTTTCGTGTTTTTTAGCCCAATTTCTAGTAACTCTGACTTCTGAGTTATTCAGTATTACAGAAAACCTCAGCCTATCATACTAATTTTTAACGGAATCGTTGAATGAATGAAATGCTAGAAGATGCCACCTCTACTGAATCATTGGATGCGATAGCACGTAAGAAAGAACTACTTCTCCAACGATTGCAGCAACGACGGCCTGTCAAGCATGCTGGTTCAGGTAAATGAATCTCTATAGTAGCATTTATCAAAAGTTCAGCAAGTCAGAAGAGAGTTGGGCCCTAAATTTCTTGAAAGAAAAAGTGAAGTTGCTTATAAACTGTCCCCCCCCCCCTTCTCGTGCCTGTCTTCATTGCGTAGATAGTGGCCACTGCACGCTGAAATCAGCAGTTTTCTCCTGAAGCTTGATGTTTTTCGTTCTTATTCAAACGCAGTTTTCGCTTCTTGTGCTCGGAAATCTCACTTATCGCTTACCTTGACCGCAAATTTTTAGCGCTGATTACGCTTCAATTTCTGGATTGTAATGATGCTCACCCGCATTGTCTGGGCAATCAAGTGAACTCGCCGATTGAAGGCATATATCATCCATCAACAGTTCATATTCAGGTGGGCATAATTTGACGTCATTCTCTTGTGAGGCCTGATGAAAGTCTTCAAATTTTTTTCAGGGAGTGCATGATTGCAAGCTCGTATTTCTTCCTGTTGATACATCCATTCTCGTGTATGACTGCACAAAGTAAGTATTAGAAAGAAGTTCTGGATTTATTTTTCGCCTTTTTTCGTCCTTTTTAACGGTGTCAAATGGTAAATGTTGACAAGAATGCTGAGTTGTGGCCGAAACTTCCGCCCCAGCTGGGATTCGCACCCGGATCTCTTGCTTTCCGGGCTATTGTGCTATCAGTTACACTAGCGGGGCACCATTTTACTCCAACTCAGCTTTTGATGGTAAGGATACTATACGCTTTTGGATGTTGTACAGCTGAGGCTGGATAGTGCAAACCTGGTTGGAGTGAGGGCGAGAGGATTTGGCCCAAGCCTAGGGGAGCAATTCCAGGTCCAGTATAAATTACCTGGTGCAAAAGAGGTTTATTCAGTGAGTTCCACGCCCTGCGAAGCTCTTATCCTTGTTAGACGGAAATCTATCCTCTGAACTATTTTGATGGTTTTTGCGAGAATGCCCCTCCTTCATCCCTACTGAAACAGCGCCAGTATTTCCTATTTATTGACATTTGTTTTGTTTGGCACTATTGCACTATTACAACCCCAGAGGGGTGAGATGGGTCAAAAAATAATTTTCGCTGAAATTTCGGCTATGGGGGTTATCGAGGGCCCTGATCACGAATATGATATTCATTTTGGCGCTGGCGCCAATTTGGCGCCATTTGGCGCCAGGTGGCGCCACGACTGATTCCCACTAAATTCGCTGTAAACTTCTGTATAGGGGTTATTTGGGTCCTGATTACGAATATGACATTCGTTTTTGTTGTTAGCGCTATTCGGCGCCTATTTCCTGCTCGTCTGCGCCCTCGCACTAATTAGATCGCAATAGGACTAAGCCTTTGAATAGTGGAGGGCTCCAAAGTGAGTAGGCCACTCCCCTGTGGTCTAACACACTCCAACTTTTGCCACACGGTGCGTGGTTTACCCACTCCGGAGTTTCACTCCCCTCCCCTAAGCTTAGTCCTAGGCGCCATAGGTGAGAAAGCTAGAAAATCAGAAAATATGCGTTAAACAACACGAATGTTAAAAACCAGTGTCATATTCGTGATCAGGGCCCCAAATAACCCCTATTCAGAAGTTTACAGCGAATTTGGTGATAATCAGTAGTGGCGCCAGCGCCAAAAATGGATATCATATTCGTGATCAGGACCCTCGATAACCTCCATAGCAAAAGTTTCAGCGAAAATTATTTTTTGACCCATCTCGGCCCCCACTGGGGTTGTAAAAATGCAATAGTGCCGTTTTTTGCTACTGTTGTCTCATGCTGTCCTGCACATCCATGACCGTAGATTTTACGATTTCTGCGAACTTATTATGGGTCGATTCATTAAGTTGGTGGTCGTTTAGCTTTTCTAATGGCTCCAGATTCATTTCGTTTATAGAGCGAGTGTCTCGTTTGACAACTTCGCCCCAGTTTCACTGTAGCGGAAGTTGTTTCTGTTTCATTCCGTGAATGCCACAGCCGAATTGGTTGT